TTCTGAAACAGGGCCAGCTTGAGATGTTTTATCCAGACCCAAAAGACATCTTCATCGGTCAGACCTGGCTCACTAACTTGATCTTGATCCTGATACAAATGCATGTCAGACCACATTAAATAGAATAAAAACAAGTTTTACTCACGACATGGGGGGCATTCAGCTGAAACAAAAAGAGATAACAAATAATTTCAGTTGTAAAAGTCGTAAATGGCTGAATATATTTTTTTCCCACTGAATATGAACGCCTCCTTTACTCATTCTCCTACTCACGTTAAATAATTATCTTTTGTCCCTCTACCCTTTGCCTGATACATTTTTTATCATCATGCTACAGTCTTTCTGTTGGTTGTTTCATAAAATTAATTGAGGTTTGTTTGGCAGTTTTTTTAACCTTAACCAGCTACAATGAGTATTTAACTGGTTATGAAACAGTCTCCATGGAATTCTGACGCCTCCAAACGATCACCGAGAGGATGAGCTATTTCCTGGGTCTTATTCAGCATGCAGCCTAAGTTTACATTCTCCCTGGCAAAGCTCCACAGTGAGAAGTATGTTAGAGAGTGAAAAGGGAGCTGAATCTGTTGGCTTGAATGTAACCTTGGTGTGAAAGGTACTAAAACAAAGTATAATCTGTTTCATCATTGTCATATTACAGTCATCAATCTTACATAGCCACAACAAATGCATTACCACATCGCTATCTATCCTGATGTTTAAGATCTGACCACTTGAAAAAATTCCATGAGACAATCTGTCAGTCTGGTCTGTCAGTTTTCTTTTTGTAAACTGCAAATCCAAATTAAGATAACTTCTCCATTTTCCTCTCTTACCTCTCCTCTTTCTGTAAACAATGACTCCAATGGCAGACATGAGGATGACAGCAAGAACAGTCACTGCAGCAGTGATGGGAATGGTCATGTCAGAAGCCTTCTCTGTTGAACAAATAAACAACAATAAGTCTAAGACCATTATGGACAAAGCAGGTTCGAAAAGAAGTACATCCATCTATTTAATAATGCCTCCTGTCCACACATGCAGGTGTGCATTGGTTTGAAATAATAAAACAAAAATTTTTTTTAAAAATATTGTTAAAATCTTAACTGAACTGGATGATAAAAGCTAAACCAACATAAAACCACACTTTTGTTTAGAGCTTCACTTTTGTGGGCACTTTGTCTTTCTCACACCCGTCACTTCTGACAGAAGTCTTACCCCTGTTGGTCCTGATAACTGCTCTGCCCAGTTTGGTGACGATGTCGTCCTTCACACCAGAGAGATGAAACACACAGTCGTACCTCCTCCAGTCTTCAGGTGGGACTGATGAAAGGTTCAGGTCACTGCTCATCTGGAAGGATCCATCGTGGTTGGGGAGGATCTCTCCGTGGTCCACGTTCTCATGAATCTCCTCTCCATCTTTCCTCCAGAACATCATGGCGCTGTCAGGGTAGAAACCTGTAGCGTGGCAGCTGACTGGAGAGGAGGGAGACTTCTGGAGGAGAGACACTGAGGGAAGGTCTGCACAGAGAGGAGTAAGGTTAAGAAGTCAGAAAATGAAACAGAGTTTTAAAAAACGAGGTGAGAGAGAGGGAGAGAAATGTTTGACAATATTGACAAAAGAACCCATTTCAGTTTTAGGTCTCAATATATTGACGCACATTCATAGTAATATCACAAGCACATTATAAAATGATAATCATATCACAAAACTACATCAGGTCATGTGATTCTACCTGTTCTCATCACAGAGCTCCTCCCATAGTCCAAAAGCTTGTTCAGGCAATCAATACAAACACGGTGAATAAAGTTCTTCCAAAGGTCATTTCTGGCTCTGTCTCTGTCCCACATGTGGGACAGAGACAGATATGTCCAGTCTCCTCATCCTGTTCACAGCCAAACATGTTCTGTAAAATGTGGATACCTGGGGGAGAGAGAGATTGGCCCCATGAAGGCCAGTCATCATCTGGACTGTGCGGACGTCTTAAAGAGACAGAGAGGCAGAGACTGCTGGGAAACACAGTGACATCCTAACACAGTTCATATCCTCTTTTTTTACCACAGAGACACACTGCCTCCACTGAGACCAGCAGTTTACCTCCACACACACTGAGGTGGAGTACTGACCAGCAGATTAAACCTGACCCACTGAGGCCCTACAGCTGGTGGACCAGTCCAATAATATCCTCTTCCTGTGAGAAACTACAGACGAGACTGTCCTGAGGCTGCTCTAGAAGCTTCCACTGAAGGAGAGTTTCAGAAAGAGATACCCTGTTTAGCAATCTTCCTTTACTTAAGTATAGCATGTGAGTTTTTCTTTCTCTTCTGTATATGACTGAGGCAAAGGCTTCAGTTAATTCTGGGTGACAAAAACATTATTGAGGAAGAAAGGAACATACTTCCAGTGTGGTTTAAGCGTTTCTTCAAACTGATAAATTCGTCTCTGAAGACCTGCTGGTGCACCGTACACTCCCCTGTGTACCACTTCCAGAACTTAGGATCCCCGTCTCTTAATTTTTCCATCCAGTCCTGTTTGGGTAATGCTGTCTTGATTCTGCTGTCACAGTAAGCCACCTCAACATCATCAATCAGCATAACAGACACAACCTCTGGGAAGTTGTGAGACTCTTGGACTCCAGAGGATGCAGTGAAGAAAACCTTCATAGAGTGCTTCACTGAAAGACAAATAGGCATTCAGTTTTTTTTAAAACTACATGTTAACATGTTTAATGTTGCATAGTTGCATTATTATGAGTAGTCATCAGTTTGTTGAGCACAGCATTTGATTTTTGCTCCACCAGCATGAGCAAAAAATAATTAATAATAATAAAAATAATTTATTGTACAGTGTCTAATAACTGAATAAAAGCTAGTTACAGGACACACCTCATTATGGTATTCCTGAAACAATTACAGCACTCAGCTCCTCACTTGCAACAACAACAAGTAATAAATAAAACATCTTGTGTGAATGTAGTGGATAAGAATAAAGTAACAGAATGGAAATAATCAGCTATGGTCCAGGTAGTTCAAAATCATACTTTAGTTCATACTTTAAGTTTTTTTAAATTAAATGACTGAGTTATTATTGCCTATATGAGCATTATAAGCACTTAATTGAAACTTTGGTAACAGTTCATAAACCTATACTAAATATTAATAAGATGTCTATTTACATTAATTATAATTTATAAGGGTTAATTATAGAATAATAACCACATTTATTACTGGTTTATAAGACACTATAAGACCCTATAAGATGAAATTAATCAGGTGTTTATTAACATTAATGAGACTATAAGAAGTTAATATAAATGCCATATTACGGTTAATAAATGCTTAATTATGCACTTATTAATAGTAAATAATGATCCTTTGCAGCTACTGGATCTAAAGTGGGAACAGTGTTGTATAAAGATTAATAATCTATTGATATGCACTTATGAACAGCTCCCACACACAAACTGCCTGTGAAGAAATAAGATTATTTAGAGAATGTAGACTGTTAAGAGATTAACAAGTTTTTATTTATTTATTGTGAACTGTAAGTTAATATAACTTAAGTAATGTTCATGTTCTTTATTGCAGTGCAACATTTGTTTAATAATTAATAAAATCCAGACATTTTTTCGGGAAGTTTTTGAAATGTTTCTTCAGTAGTTTTTGAAAACCGAAGTTTGAACCGAACCGTGAGTCGGGCAAATATCTTGCCTAGGGTGCCAAATTGGTCAGGCACAGCCCTGCGTATGATCCAGTCAAAACATAGTCTTTTCAAGTTGGGGCAAAAGGGAAACTAAACTGCAGGTGTGTCTCAGAGCTATGCAGGAACAAGACAACAAGATACAGAGCCGAGTGGAAAGTGAGGCAAAGATTTAAAATGAGATCTTACCTGGAAATGAAACACGACAGAAGAGAAACAACAATAGTATTTTTTTCATCTCGTTTTGATTAAGGTGTGTCGGACTGAGGACCGAGCTGATTCAGCTGTTTTGTAATCCGTCCAATGCTTTTTCCTCGAGACGACAGTGTTTCTGTTCTGAGGAGGGATGGGTGGGTTTTACAGAAGTTGAAAAACTTGTTTCACTCTTTGACTGTATGACCCAACTAAATTAGACACATTTATTGAGGGTGGTAGGGGGGGCATCCAGCATTTCTAATATTTTATTTTAACACTCCTTAAAACAAATGCAATACCCTCCCCAATATCTAAACAATTAATTATTAAAAAACTATTAAAGCTTTGTGGCTACTGATGGACGTGTGCAGCACAGTATTCTCACCCCACCCTGGTTTTCCAATAATAGAATTTGACCACATGATTTCTGACTTGCTTACTCAGACTTTAACCGCCTCTGTGTTGCTTCCTTTCCCATACAGAGAACTACTGTAACAAAAACAACAGAAAGAAAAAACACCCCACAGAAATGAATGCATTTTAGATTTTAGACTAATTTTATTTGACAATAATGAATCTAAATTAAAAACAGAACACTGGCTGTCAAACACAGACATTCTAACATGCTGAGTGTTGGTTGAGAATCTAGCAAAACCATTAGCACAATTTGAAAGAAATATACAGAGACATTGTTTTTACCTCTACTCCACTGGGGTGGTAGTGGTCTTAGATTTTTTTTTTTAGGAAAAGGCATGTACACTACAAGGCATGTATAGATACAGGGAAGTGAATGAGTACAACAAACAGGCTGTTAGAGTACAAACCTATCACTATAAATATTCCAATTCCACATAACCACATACTCAAGATTTTGTAAGCTGAGGTCTTCAGTTATGTTCTGTGCTTTGAAAGTATCACCCTTTGTTTGAATTCTGTCTTCATCATTTTATAAAGTTAGTGTCACAATATAATAAAAAGTAAACACTTTATCAGCCTTTGATGTAAAAGTGTTTTGAGTATCTGTGCCTCATAGGCTTGTTTGTCTTTTCACCTCATCAAACTTAAAAGGCCCTGAAAACTTATTTCCTCACTCATCTTGTCACTGTAAGTAAGTAGGCAGAGCTCAAAAGGTAAAAGGTGGTGTTACATGTTTCCTTACACCAATCAGGATTCAGCAACATCTGTCCAATCTGATGACACCACACCAACAAAATCCTGACAAAACAGATGAACTACTTTTAAAGTCATCAACTCCAAATAAATAATATTAGAGATGTTGATGTTATTTTTAGCCATCCTGGCGTAATAAGCAGTACCATACTTATCTGAATATAAGACAATCCTGATTGTAAGATGACCCCCACTTTTTCAAGACTCAACTTTAGAAAAGATTTTCTGAAGACCAATACTAATAAAAACACACTTCATAACATAAGGTAGTCCGTCAACCTGTAGGTAAACTGTTTGTCTTTTTGGCCTCACCATATGAACATTTCATTCTGTGACACTGTATTTCTTTGCAGCTTGAGAGTTGTTTGATGACTCACATGATTTTATTTTTGCCATCATGACTCCTACCCAGGTGTTGGTCAACTTGGCAACTTTTGAGCCACTTTGTGTGAGATGGCACTGAGTCTCTCCGTCTTTCAGGCACCTGGCACTGTGAGCTGACTGTGAGGGTTGGTGGCTAGCTTTAGTCAGAAAGGAAACACTTGTTTTACGGATATTTGGCGCCACCTATTGTTGTGAATGTATACTGACATTTACAAGTCTAGTCTAGACCCTGAATAATAACAGCCCCACTTTTTCTGGTGTATTTCTCGGGGAAAAACTCATATTAAGACAATATGATACTCAAGATTTAAAAGCAAGTTTTCAGGGGTTTTAAAATAAAGGTTTGTTGTCGGAATCTTATAATTTCAGGTGTTGCTTCACTGGAGTCACAGCTGATCTGCGTCCCATTTGAAGTAATTCACAGTGTCCCTGATGTGTCTGCAAATCATGTTTCTGGATTGAGTTTCTCAGAGAGCTCAGAGCTCTCATCATGAGCTGTAAGGAAAAACACACTGTTATTCCATCCTGTACTGACCTGCTGTTAAACAGCTGCTACATTCTGTTGCAGAGGCTGGTCTTTCAGAATGCCTCTACAGATCCACCGTAAAGTTTTCAGTATGAGGAGCTTCTGAAACAGGGCCAGCTTGAGATGTTTTATCCAGACCCAAAAGACATCTTCATCGGTCAGACCTGGCTCACTAACTTGATCTTGATCCTGATACAAATGCATGTCAGACCAGATAAAATAGAATAAAAACAAGTTTTACTCACGACATGGGGGGCATTCAGCTGAAACAAAAAGAGATAACAAATAATTTCAGTTGTAAAAGTCGTAAATGGCTGAATATATTTTTTTTCCACTGAATCTGAACGCCTCTTTTACTCATTCTCCTACTCACGTTAAATAATTATCTTTTGTCCCTCTACCCTTTGCCTGATACATTTTTTATCATCATGTTACAGTCTTACCGTTGGTGGCTTCATAAAATTAATTGAGGTTTGTTTGGCAGTTTTTTTAACCTTAAGCAGGTACAATGAGTATTTAACTGGTTATGAAACAGTCTCCATGGAATTCTGACGCCTCCAAACTATCATCGAGAGGATGAGCTATTTCCTGGGTCTTATTCAGCTTGCAGCCTAAGTTTACATTCTCCCTGGCAAAGCTCCACAGTGAGAAGTATGTTAGAGAGTGAAAAGGGAGCTGAATCTGTTGGCTTGAATGTAACCTTGGTGTGAAAGGTACTAAAACAAAGTATAATCTGTTTCATCATTGTCATATTACAGTCATCAATCTTACATAGCCACAACAAATGCATTACCACATCGCTATCTATCCTGATTTTTAAGATCTGACCACTTGAAAAAATTCCATGAGACAATCTGTCAGTCTGGTCTGTCAGTTTTCTTTTTGTAAACTGCAAATCCAAATTAAGATAACTTCTCCATTTTCCTCTCTTACCTCTCCTCTTTCTGTAAACAATGACTCCAGTGGCAGCCATGAGGATGACAGCAAGAACAGTCACTGCAGCAGTGATGGGAATGGTCATGTCAGAAGCCTTCTCTGTTGAACAAATAAACAACAATAAGTCTAAGACCATTATGGACAAAGCAGGTTCGAAAAGAAGTACATCCATCTATTTAATAATGCCTCCTGTCCACACATGCAGGTGTGCATTGGTTTGAAATAATAAAACAAAAAATTTTTTTAAAAATATTGTTAAAATCTTAACTGAACTGGATGATAAAAGCTAAACCAACATAAAACCACACTTTTGTTTAGAGCTTCACTTTTGTGGGCACTTTGTCTTTCTCACACCCGTCACTTCTGACAGAAGTCTTACCCCTGTTGGTCCTGATAACTGCTCTGCCCAGTTTGGTGACGATGTCGTCCTTCACACCAGAGAGATGAAACACACAGTCGTACCTCCTCCAGTCTTCAGGTGGGACTGATGAAAGGTTCAGGTCACTGCTCATCTGGAAGGATCCATCGTGGTTGGGGAGGATCTCTCCGTGGTCCACGTTCTCATGAATCTCCTCTCCATCTTTCCTCCAGAACATCATGGCGCTGTCAGGGTAGAAACCTGTAGCGTGGCAGCTGACTGGAGAGGAGGGAGACTTCTGGAGGAGAGACACTGAGGGAAGGTCTGCACAGAGAGGAGTAAGGTTAAGAAGTCAGAAAATGAAACAGAGTTTTAAAAAACGAGGTGAGAGAGAGGGAGAGAAATGTTTGACAATATTGACAAAAGAACCCATTTCAGTTTTAGGTCTCAATATATTGACGCACATTCATAGTAATATCACAAGCACATTATAAAATGATAATCATATCATGAAACTACATCAGGTCATGTGATTCTACCTGTTCTCATCACAGAGCTCCTCCCATAGTCCAAAAGCTTGTTCAGGCAATCAATACAAGCATGGTGTAAAACGATCTTCCAAAAGTCATTTCTGGCTCTGTCTCTGTCCCACATGTGTTTGGTCATGACAGACTGAGGTGTTGGGGCAATCCATGTTTGTGTTTCCAGATGAAATATAAGGAAGTCCTCTCCATTGTAACCATATTGATGAAAACCGCTGATATTTCCAGTCTCCTCATCCTGTTCACAGCCAAACATTTTCTGTAAAATGTGGATACCTGGGGGAGAGAGAGATTGGCCCCATGAAGGCCAGTCATCATCTGTACTGTGCGGACGTCTTAAAGTGACAGAGAGGCAGAGACTGCTGGGAAACACAGTGACATCCTAACACAGTTCATATCCTCTTTTTTTACCACAGAGACACACTGCCTCCTCTGAGACCAACAGTTTACCTCCACACACACTGAGGTGGAGTACTGACCAGCAGATTAAACCTGACCCACTGAGGCCCTACAGCTGGTGGACCAGTCCAATAATATCCTCTTCCTGTGAGAAACTACAGACGAGACTGTCCTGAGGCTGCTCTAGAAGCTTCCACTGAAGGAGAGTTTCAGAAAGAGATACCCTGTTTAGCAATCTTCCTTTACTTAATTATAGCATGTGAGTTTTTCTTTCTCTTCTGTATATGACTGAGGCAAAGGCTTCAGTTAATTCTGGGTGACAAAAACATTATTGAGGAAGAAAGGAACATACTTCCGGTGTGGTTTAAGTGTTTCTTCAAACTGAGAAAATCATCTCTGAAGACCTGCTGGTGCACCGTACACTCCCCTGTGTAAAACTTCCAGAACTTAGGATCCCCGTCTCTTAATTTTTCCATCCAGTCCTGTTTGGGTAATGCTGTCTTGATTCTGCTGTCACAGTAACCCACCACGACGCCATCAATCAGCATAACAGCCACAACCTCTGGGAAGTTGTGTGACTCTTGGACTCCAGAGGATGCAGTGAAGAAAACCTTCATAGAGTGCTTCACTGAAAGACAAATAGGCATTCAATTTTTTTAAAACTACATGTTGTGTTGCATAGTTGCATTATTATGAGTAGTCATCAGTTTGTTGAGGACAGCATTTGATTTTTGCTCTATCAGCATGAGCAAAAAAAGGAAAAAATAGTAAATCCCTAAAAATTTATTGTACAGTGTCTTATAACTGAATAAAAGCTAGTTACAGGACACACCTCATTATGGTATTCCTGAAACAATTACAGCACTCAGTTCCTCACTTGCAACACAACATTTTTCCTTAAGTTCATTTTAAACATATTGTTCTATTGTGTTTATTGAGTTTAAGTGAATCATAGAGAATACATAGTAAGGGTAGTCTATGAAAGACAGGTTGTATACTCCTATGCTCTAATGAATACTGTAAATGGACACACACCCTACTCTGCACAGGAGCTCATAGGTCAAATGAAACTGCTGTTACAGGGAAGAGCTAAAAGTAAAGGTTTAAAATGTTCTTACCTGGAGATGAAAAATGACAGAATAGGAGCAACAAAAATGACTTCATCCTGGTTTGAAAAAGAAGTTGAGCTAGAGAGCTAAGTGCAGTCAGCTGGTGTGAACTTTTTGTATAGTCCAATGATGTTTCCTGGTTTAATGAGATGAGTATTTGTTTTCTGAAAAAAAGAGGTGTGTTCACCAGTTATTAACTCCTTGTAGGTGAACAAAAACTTCCCTCTGGCCTCTAAGAATTTGACTTTATGATTATTATTGATGGTGTTACTGTATTATAAGCTTTAATGTGTACGGAACCAGATCTTGTTTTTCAAGGCTTTGTGTTTTTCATTTATATATTGGTTACCGGTTGTTGCTGTATCTGCTCCTGCCTGCTTCCACTGAAGCTCGTTCTGATCTGCCTGCACTTGTCTACTGCTCACTTCCAAAAACACACTGCATCGTGCAAGACACAGACTTTGACCCGTCAGATATGAGGCGGGAGGTAAGACGCAGAGTACTTGTGTTATTGTTTATCTTCAACTTTGTTCTTTTTTCTACATCTCAGTCTCTCAGCTTCTCCTGTAATTACAACCTGTTTAACCTGCTTCTATTTTTAGTTTACTTTCCCTTTTGCCTCACAAATTAAAGGTGGAGATTGTGTTGAGGGATAAGAAAGTGTGTCAAGTTAATATCATCAGACTCCCTCCAAATTTTGATTGATTACATTTAATGTCTTTTAATGAAGAAACACTGACTTTCTCTGAGAGATCAGATCATTACCGCTGTAAGGGAATGTTATTATTCTATTCTATTAATAGTACATATCAAGCGACTACCACCCCAAATGACTATTGTGAATAAGCTTGTTTTTCCAGTACTTGAAGTGCTGGAGGCTTTTATTGGCCTTGGTGATGCTTCTCTTTAGTGACAAATGGACAGATTGTGTGGATTGATCGGATCTACTTTCAAAGGTAGGTGCTTTGCTAATGGAGAGTTCAATGTTGAGTATTGCTGAGTCCACTTGGGTCCATTTGTATGGAACCCCACATATTCCCACAGCTATGCTCAAAATGACTTCCCCTTCCACTGTGACCTTAAAACACCAGATTCATGGGGCGACCTTTGTCTCTCCTGGTAGATTGTGTGCCCCCATACAGGCCAAATCCTCTGCAAGGGCCCAGGTTTAATTCCAACCTGGGGCCCTTTGCTGCATGTCATTCCCCCTGTCTATCTTAGCTTTCCTATAATTCAAGGCAAAAAATGCCCAAAAATAATCTCACAAAAAACAAACAAACAAAAAAATCCCCACCTAATTCACATCACTTGTAACCAGCATTCCCTAATAGACTATGCACACTGTACCATCTAGTGGTCAGAAGTGTTTTAGTCTATAGATAAAATGTACACAGAATTGTATAATTATAAAAATAGAACTACACATTTTAAATGGCTCCTGCACCCGTTGTATTTATATTGCTGCAACTGCAGTCACAGATGAGTATGTGGACTTCCAAAATAGACCAGCCTTTGAAAACTGTGGACTTTATTAAAAAGCAAAACATCAACACCAAAAGAAAGAGCAACAGATTTAATTTAGATATTCATTTATGATTATCAATACACAGAAAAATGTCCCAAAAATTGTGAGGATTCCTATGGAAGCTGTGTATTCATGTCGAATGATATTGTAACCTTTCACACAGATTAACATTTAAGTCAATATCAAATAGATAAATACACAAATAAGCCTAGGCTTCTCAAACAAATCCTGAAATAAATAAAGGAGGCAATACATGTATAATTCAACTTCAGTATAAAGATATAAATTAGTTATCATAGTTGAATAAATAAATAAATATTTTTTTCTTTGAAGGACCTTTTTCAAAAGATTACTTTTATTATTACGGATTCTTTAATTCCATAATTGTACATTTATTTATTTCAGGGTATATTTATTTCATAATACCATATTTATTACCCACCTGTTTTTATTTCCATTTTGTACATATTCAAATGAATGGGGTGTGGTTATTGCACAGATTTAGAACAAAGCAGCAGCACAAGATTTAGCTAACTGGCATACACTGTGGTCCCTTTATTAATGCAGCAGGGAGCGCCAGGGTTTGTGCTGGCTGAATCTGAGTTGCTACAGCCCATATTGCTATTTTCGAAGCTACTGTAGCTGTCATATTTTGTGGAGATGGACTTCAGTTAAAGGCTGTAGCAACTCAAATTCGGCCTGCTCAAAACCTCAGCACCAGGTTTAACCTATGTAACAGCAGCAAGTTTGCTGATCTGGTGCACAGTCGAGGCAGTCAAGCATCAAACCCCCGATGCTGGGTCACAAGCAAGCTGAATTTGTGTTGCCACAGGTGCAAGCGAAGGTCCGTCTCCACAAAATATGACAGCTACAGTAGCTTGGAAAATAATATGGGGCACTGCATTTGAAGAATTTATTGTTTACTGGACCACGAATGAGATGACAATTAGCTTGCTAGTGCACCCTGTGGTCCCCCTGCCTCACTTCCAGCTAGGACAGTACTCTGCTGGCATGAGAGCAGATGGCAGCTGTGGTGACAGACCTTCAGTGGCTGTAGCTCAGTATGCATGTTAAATATTGTTTTGACCTTTCATCAGGACCCGCAGTTGGTCGTGCTGTCATGGATCTATTGAGTCCGCTGACAAGCAACACCATTCTCTGACCTTGACCTAACGCATCTTAAAGCTGCCTTTAAATCCTTTAGTCACCCAAGCAAAGAGCCAATACTCTGCTACTTTATATCTACATTATACCTGCTCAGGCTCAACTACAGTGACTGGCCCAACTGGCTTCAGGCAACTACATGTGAATGCCATGGCTCAGTAGTCCAACCACCATCACTGTCTGTCTCATTTAATGTGCTTTGAGACAGATAGGAAACACACTGTTGCATCAGTGTTAATAAATGATAAAACATTTTCATAAAATTCACATTTGAAATATAAATTAAAAAAATGTGAAATACTGTGATATATATACTGTGACTACTACTATACTTTTGCTGCATGAAGCCATCTTTAAATGTCTTTTGCTTCTTTAAAACTATAATATGACACATGCCAAGTTATTTACTTTTTTCTGTGTTCATCAACCGAACTTGGATCGAGTTTCTCAGTGAGGTCAGAGCTGCTGTCAGGAGCTGTAAGGTCAGACACAAACTGTTAGTGTTAAACTTGTCCATTTATCCTGCATTGAACTTTTCTAAACAGTAAATACAGGAAACCGTCTTGAAGAAGTTAATATTCACAGTAATTTGAAACCTTTTCAATCTACAGCATGAAGTGTGTTTCAGATCGGCTGCCATAAAAGGTTTTACTTACGAGATGGAGGACTTTTTGCTGAAATTAAAGCAAAAGACAAATCATTTGAGTTACAGCTGTAAATGCCAGAATATCTTTTGTTAGCTTTTTTATGATCCCCCCCGTCTACTTACTCAAACAGAAAAAATAAATCTATTCTACCCTTCTGTTTCATCCTTACTTGATTTCTTATCTCTTCTTTCCCACATGATCGTGGTATAGTCATATTATCATGACTAACAGGCTCTGACCCTGACAGCCCTTACTGTTAGTTAGCTCACGGGATGCAGGAAGCTGATTCTTGTTTCAGTTCTGCAACTTGGATAAAAGCATCAACTCAAAGACTAATATCAAAGTATTGAAAAAGCCAATTGAGCAGATGATCTTTCCATTTTTCTCTCTCACCTTTCTTCCATTTGTAAACAGTGAATCCAGTGGCAGCGATGAGGATGAGAGCAAGAACAACCACTGCAGCAGTGATGGGGATGTTCATGTCACTGGGCTTCTCTGTTGAACAAAAAAGTGTAGTAGTAATAATTAAGACCTGTACAGACAGAGCAGGTCAGTGACACGGACACTGTAAATAAATGAATAAATATAAACTTAAATGTTCAAAGTTAAAGTTCTCCTCAATTCAGCAAAGCAGATACATTGGAATAAAATCATGTTGTGTAGGTCTCATTGGCCTTGTCATATTTGTGGTAAAGACAATGTGGTCTGTAAAATGCTTTAAACTTGCTATGACTTTAAGAAAATTGAACAATCTTGTTAGGCCCACATTATCTGACCAGTGATCCTGAAACAAGCAACACATTGCTTTAATTAAATTCTTTAATTGTTTTTTTATTAGTTTTCTGAAGATGATGCTTAATCTGAGGACAAAAGCTAAAATCCCCAATAAACCACAGTCATGCAGTTGCATTCAGCACCCTCTTATCTCACTCTTACCCCAGTTGGTCCTGATCACTGCTTTGTCCAATTTGGTGACGATGTTGTCCTTCACACCAGAGAGATGAAACACACAGTCGTACCTCCTCCAGTCTTCAGGTGTGACTGATGAAAGGTTCATGTCATCACTCATCTGGAAGGATCCATCGTTGTTGGGGAGGATCTTTCTGATGTTCACGTCGTCATGAATCTCCTCTCCATCTTTCCTCCAGAACATCATGGCTCTGTCAGGGTAGAAACCTGTAGCGTGGCAGCTGACTGGAGAGGAGGGAGACTTCTGGAGGAGAGACACTGAGGGAAGCTCTGGAGCGAGACAGAGAAAGGGGACGGAGGAAGATGAGAAACAGTGAAAGAAAAGAAAAGAAAAGGAATATAAAAAAAAAATCAATAAGGAGAAATCGACACAAGGAATAGAGAAAAAGGAAAGGAGAAGTAATTCACGACATCACAGCTGTAAGCACAGTGAGTCTCCATGCTGGTTCATATCAGTAGTAATGTAGGTCATTGCTGCTGGTCAATCTTAAACAGAGTAACATAAGTAAATCCACAGAGTCTACAGCCATGCTAGCAGCCTGTTGAGGTTGTACTGAGGTACAGCAGCGCTTTGAGTTAAATGTTAATCGCAGCATGCTATTTGGGTACCAAATTTAGGGCCTCTCTATGCTTATATAGATATCTTTGTAAACATATTTGCTTGGCCACTTGTCTGCATGCAAAGTAGACGAGTTTTCTAAAACTGAGATATTTTTAAATGCCTTCTTTGGTGCAGATTTTTTAAAACTCTGGTTACTGTGTATCTGTGTGGATGTTAAAAACGAAGCATTTGGGAAATAATGATGTCATCTTCTCAATTTGCACATACCAATTGCTGCTTTGCGTGTTGAGCATGCGCTAGAAATAACAACAACAACATCAGACTACTGGTTTGCCAACGTTTTGTTCGCATTGCTTGGTCTAATGTCTCCATTTAAACTTTGTGTTGCGACACCACTCCATGAACGAACGGAGGCGTCTGCTGCACCCAGTGGTTTTTCTCCACCTCAGCATCCATGGTTTAAAGTCCACCCAAAAAGATGATCTTTGATCTTGTTTTGAAAAGGGTAACATTAAGGCCCTGACACACCAAGCCGACGGTCAGCCTTCGGTGAATGTTGAGCTGTCGTTGAGCATCTGCCGCCATAGCTGGTGCAGTGTGTTCCGCACCATCAACCCTCTTTGGTGCTAGTCAGGTTTTTTTCTGGTGATACTGCATGTTGAATTGGCGTGTGCAAAGCCCCTCGGTGAATTTAAATCACTTTGATTGGAAGTTAAGCTCTCCTCACGAGAGGAGAACGGAAATGAGGAAAGTAAACAAACAGCTTAAGTCAAGAGGGAGTGAGACCAAAACAATCTTGTTACAAAATGGGGGTTTTTAGACACTGAGCTCAGAAACATAACATGATGGTTTGTCTTATTGTTCATGGCGCAAGATAAATATGCTTTGTTCCATCAGCATTGGATTGTGTTGTCAATGTGCTAACTGGCTAACTGGTGTTAAGATGCTCTTTCTGTTTCACTTTTTCAATGATGATTACTGACTACCACTGTCTGCTCATATGGAGGGGTATTTACTCTCACGCAAGCGCAAAACATATGTGCTTGTTGCCCGTTGGCTGTTGTCTTTGCTGTGTGTTCATGTGCAAGTTTTGAGACTCAGCCAAAGTCAGCCGACGCAGCAGGGGGCTTTCGATGCCACTAGTTCTCTTAAGTTTGGTTTGTCTATGCCTTTAGCCCGAACACTTAACTACCTTTGTGATGAGGGGAGACTGCTGAAGACACCTAATACCAGCAAGTGTTTGGGGTTGTTTTTGTGTTGCGGAATATATTTTGTAAAACGAAGGTAATGTGGACAGAATTTTTTCTGTTAAAAAAAGGGGGAAAATATCAATTTTCAAAAACAACAACAACAACAACAAAAAACCTTAATTGCAATCCGTACAATTGGTTTTGAGATTTTTGAGTATGGACAAATAAATGTCAGTTAGATGGTGCTGAAGGAAAAGTCAGAGGATCACCAAAGTCACCAAAGTGCCAGTCTCTTCTGATAGATGAAGGCCAAATCAAATCTTACTGCCCAAGAAAATGACCAAAAAGAAAGTCATGTCGGACTGAGTACTAATGCAGTAATAATACGGCAGTTCGGTCTGAGCAGACTTTATGAACATTGTTGTGTCCACAAAACTACATCAGGTCATGTTATCCTACCTGTTCTCAGCAGAAAGCTCTTGGCAAAGGCCACATACATCTTGAGGAACTCAGGACAAATCTGCGTAAGGTACATCTGATTGCATTTTGTCCTAGCTTTCTCAGCATCCCATCTCAGTTTGGTGACAACAGCCTGTGGTTTCGGAGCAATCCATGTGTATGTGTTTACATCCAATGATATGTAGTCTTCTCCATTGTAACCGTATTGATTAAAAGCATTTTCCTCTCCAGTCTCATCGTCCCACTCACAGCCATACATCCTCTGTAAAATGTGGTCACCTAAGAGACAGAAACAGAGACTGTAATTTACAATGATGGACAGATAATATCTCCAGTGGTAAAAAATGCACTGCTATACTCCCAGTCTTGTGTTTCAAGAGCAGATAATCAGTGCACTTTTTCTTTAAGTGAGTGACGGAACCCAGTGTTTTGGTTTTTTTTTTTTCAAAGTTTCAAATTTAGAATGGTAGCTAAATTCCCAGATGACTGCCCCAGTCAGGAAACCAAGTGGGTTTGTCCTCTTGGATTCTGTGCACATCAAATTGTTATATAAAGTCACTCAAAGTCACTTAATGGCTTAGGGTTTAAAACGCTGACCATGAACTGCAACGTCCCTGGTTGAAGTCTAGCTGGGCACCATTGTTGCATCTCTCTTGATCTCGACTTGCCTTTGATATCTGACATCAGTAATGGTAGTCAAATCAGATCGAGGTAGCTGCAGTTTCTAGAATCAGGTACTCTAGGTTGCTCTGCTGAATGCAAAATTTCAGTGCATGATGGGATACACCTGGCTGTTCCCTGATCCAAAGCTCAGTGACTCAAGATATTTGACCACAAACATTACATGTAATAGAAACTCTTTGTGTAAAGATTTTGAATTTATTAGTCTGATTTTGTGCAAATTAAGTTTTTCTGTACCTATTGTACATGATAAAGACTTTAAGCCTACAATATTAGAATCTTACATACTCTGTTAATAACTTTTTCAAATGTTAGGGCCCTGTCACACATGAGTAAATGGAGTTGAGCGACCGTTACCTGATAGGTTAATATTTGTGCTGAATGTGGGCAGTGCCTGCTGTGACGCACACAGAAAGCTAGCTTCCTAGCTAGTGTAAGCTGGTTTACTAATAAAAACCCCAAGACATAATGTTATCAGTACATTTTCCGTTTACTTGTTCCATGCCTGTCTTTCAACTCACTGCCAACCAGGCATTATCTCTTGTGTGGGACACCTTGTATTTTTCATCTACTATCATACAGTATCAGGTGGCTAGACACAGCAACAATCAATGGGCCTTATTTTAGTGTTTTCTTATATTTGTTCTTAAGAAAAGTCCTAAGAAAAGTCTGCATCAGATTCACAACATCTTTTTAAAATGATCAATCCCACTGTCCCCCTAAATTGAAAGTATGTGAAAGTCAATCCTAATAAGCATAGGTAAACGCCCTGGCAATCTCCATATACGGGCATGAGATTGCAGGGCCATGTGCACACACAGAAACTGAAAAGAAGAAGTAGTTGAAAGAGGTAATTTAAGAATGCCTAACCAAAAGTCTAAAGAGGATAGAGCACCAGATCTCAAACATAAAAAAACCCTTCTATTTTGAAGATGAGGTACTTCTGCAGAATGTGAACACCACACGAGCGGTCATATTTGGTAGCAGGAATGGGTTCACCAAAGCTGAACTCCATGTGATGCCAAGATGGGAATTTGCTTTGCCATCTAAAGCAATGGACTTGAATGGAAGTAAACAGGTGGTGATTATTCCCCTATGTTATTGTCTCTCATGTGTGACCGTGCCGTGTGTTTGGAGTCTTGAAATAAAACCTGTACAGACGGATTTTAAACCCTTCAGTCCAATTCTCCGACAGGTTATTGAAGGAAATTAAGGATGTCTTCCTGCTTTTTCTCCTCCTGTGTCTGTCTGTGTGTGTGTGTGTGTGTGTGTGTGTGTGTGTGTGTGTGTATGTGTATGTGTGTAACTGTGATGATATTTCTACTATTGATTGATCTTTTGAATTTCTCAAGGGTGGAATGAGTTTGGGTCATTTTATGTCATAAACAAAACAGAAGAATTTAGCAGTAAAAAGTTAAATACAATATAATACATACTGTACCTCCACTGTGGTTGAAGCGCTGCTTCAAGCTCTCCATCTTGGCTTTGAACTGATTAGGCTGAATCTTAAAACACTCTTGAGTGTACCATTCCAGGTGCCGAGGATTGTTTTCTAATAATTTTTTCATCCAATCCTGTTTTGGTTCGACTATCTTTTTGTTCGTGTCACAGTAAGCTGCCAGATGTTCATCAACCACTGCAGCAGACACAAGCTCTGGGACGTTTGGGACTCCAGAAGATGCAGTGAAGAAAAACTTCAGGGTGTGTTTCACTGCAGGACAAACAAGGTTCATACATTACATTCACTGTAAATAGGCTATAAATGTGGGCATAGGTTTTGGGAGGGGTGGACGAAACCATTTTGCACATTCAACTTTATACAAAGGAAACAAATTTAGATAAACAAATAATTAATAATTTAGTTTTGACATTACTTTCTGAGAAAAACAAACAATTTATTTCAGGCTTCTTGAGGGTCCCCTTCCTATTGGGGCCTTGGGTAATCAGTCTCGCATTTCCCCCTGTTGTGACCCCCCACCCCCCCAAATGAAGTATGAAGCCGACCAAGTTAAGTCATGACGTCATGATTTCACATCACAACACAGAGATAGCGTAAAAAGAAGAGAGAGATAAGAGTAATAATGAAGCGTTTTAACAAGTGTTCAACTGGCTGCTCTGCACGTATATTTAAAGTTTCCTATAAACCCCAGTTTGACATAACATTAAAGAAGTAAGTTGATCTACAGAAAAATAAACGCTACAAAGCAATCGTGAAAAAAAAACCCAGCAGAATGCAGGAAATGAAGTGTTTGACGCTAAAATGTCCAGAGACCTGATTAATGTGCCCCCCTTGGGCCCTATAATAACAATAAACATCACGCCACTGAATATACACACATCATCATCACACTCTTCATCTATAAATTTAGTATGATGTAATAGAAACACATCAGGCATATCACGTTGAAGTGAAAGTGAAACTAAATTGCATGTGTGTCTTGGAGCTACGCAGGAGCAAAACACAGAGCCGAGTGGAAAGTGCAATGTGATTTTACCTGGAGATGAAATGTGACAGAGGAGCAGCAGCAAAAATAACGGCTTCATCTTGTTTTGAGAAAGATGTGTGACTAGAGGACCGAGCTGGGTCTCCTGCTGTGTCACTTGTGCATGCAACGCTCTTTGCTCGCGGAGGGAGGTGGGAGTGTCTCTGACGCAACTAGATTAGGGACTGTATGAAATTTATTGGGGTGGGGAGGTGTTTGAATTTTGTATTTCATTTTATATAAATGCGACACCATGCAGCATTATCAATACTTTATCTGGATTTTTGAAAAAACAAACAAAAAAACAAAACATAAAAAAGCTTCTTGGACTCTTTGGATTCAAGAAATAGGACTGCATACTGGTTAAAACATATATATTTTCTTTGTTATCTACTGTAACTAATGCTCAAATTGGGGTAACTAATGTGCCTTATGATAGATATACAGGAATAATTGAGATTTTAAGAAATTAGTTGGATGATATTTAAACTATAGACTGAAAAAAATGGACATAGCCTAGCTACCATGTTGTCACCCCTTAGTTTGTGGACTCTTGTTTTTAAGCCTCAGGTCTGGCACTATGGCTGTTGCCATCTTGGTTTGTTTTTTTGTTTGGAGGCAGAGGGGACCATATTTGTACACAAGGGTGAAGCTGTGGAGGAGAGAGGGATGGATCTGATTGGAAAGCTGAACACATTCTCAGTCTGACCTCTTCAGATATTGATGTTTGGTCATGGATTGTCCACGCTGAGATATGACATGCAAGGTACTGTAGGTAGGTTGGTTGTTGACGTTCTGTCAACTTCTGTCTGTTACATCCATTATCTGTTTTCAAAATACAAAATAAAATAAATGCACTATGTTGATACAACACTGTGAATCTACGTTTTTTTTTTTTCCTTCAACAACAAATGCATGTAGTTATGTTTCGCTAACACACACACACACACGGCTGGGTTTAGGCAACAAAAGCACATGGTGGGGTTTAGGAGAGAAGAACAGGGTTTGGCTTTACAGTCTTACTGGAAGCGAACACTGGCCTCCTGGGTGAGGGTCGGTGGTTGTTGGACCCATCCACCACCCTTCCCACCCACCCTACTTCGACTTCTGCTGCTTAACTTTCATTGTTGTCCCACCACGTCTCCCCCTGATGCTGCTGGGCACCATTTAAACAATAACGGTAACCAGACTAATAACAGGACAGCTTTTTGCGTTAGTGTCTGATGCCGGAAGTCACTGACCAAGCACTGGTAATCGAGTGAGACCAGGTTTGCTGGGGACACTATCACTACAGCCTGTGACAATTGCATACATTTAAGCCTTAATAAAATGTAAATGGGTGAGTTATGTCAAAATGTGCCCTTGTACAGTTGTGATGAAGGAAGAAATTAGCTCCAGAGACCAAAAGCGTTTTAACCGTTTTTTGTACCAGGCTGTAAACATGTTTATTTCTGCTGTAAAGTTGGGCAATTTAACTTTGGGGGTCTATGGGGATTGTCCGGCGTCTGTAGCCTATATGGCATGAGCCATTCCAGAAAGTTAATGAACTGTGTGGTTGGTGACCGAAAACGGAACTAAACTCAGAATCTGCTGAAGCAGCTGATGCGTTCAACGACATGTTCAACAGCATAGTAAAAACATGAAGACATAAAACTCAGTACAATAAATAAAATATCACTGAACAGACAATAAAGACATAACTATCTGAATGATCAGATTAACCAAGGAAATGGGCAGGTATAAGTTTTTTTTTAATAGACAGAAATATTGTTATATGATTACATATATAAATAGTTTATATATGTGTTACTTTTAAAAATGATTTGCCATCAGTTGATTAAACATCTGGCTGTTCTTTTTCCAAATGTGAGAAAATTTATTTATACGTTCGCTGACTTCACATTTTCACTTTATAATGACAAAGTTTAAAAGAAATAAAAAAAGGAAAAAAGAATAGCTAGCAAAATGATATTTGCACTACGTGCATCACAAATGAAATAAATTAAATGAAAGACAAATGCCTCCAGTTCAACACACTGCAGCCTCAGTAAAATCTATATAGTTAAATTAATACCACTATGATAGGGTCGATTAAAACTGAACTTTATATGATCTTTGTAAAGGTATAATTTACACCTGAGCTCTGGGTTTGTATTGTATATGTGTACCTAATAAAGTGGCCCCTGCGTGTATAATGCAAATGAAATGAGCTCCACTTTGACTGCTTACAGAGGGCATATTCAATTTCATTACAATTAGGCCCTACTTTCACTTTCCATTAAGTATCAAACATTTAACAAAACGACTATTAATGAACCACAATGTCAAAGCAGGTTTCATTAGAAATAGAGTATTATTACATTACTTATTGCATTGCTATTTTTTACTCTGAAGGAAAACTCACAAGCACAGGTCTCACAAGCACTTGCAGCAGCAAACTCAACCTTTTTAACTTTGTCTTTACTTTCTCTTGTGTGAAGCATCTGTTTGTGTATGAGGATGTTTCCTGTGACCTGCAGTGAGTTTCAATCCCTGCACCCAAAAACAACGGCAGTAAGACCCAGTGGTTTAATGGTACTAAAATGATTGCACTGTCTGAATTGCAGTTCACAGTGTGAACAGTTCCCACGCACCCAAACTGATGCAGCTCCAACTACAAACTGTACAGGCTATATAACTCTAACAAATGTAGCCTACTTAACAGTACGTTACATACTGTATTGTATAAGTAGACTGTCCCTGTGTAAAATGCACAGAATTTTAAAGAAAATGAAAAGAAAATTTAAAGAAAATTAAAAGAAATGTTATCAAGAAAGATAAAATCAACGCTTTAAGATAAGGGTTTATTTTGGAAATCAATTTAGAAAAAATACAATACGATCCTACCTGAAGATGCAACCTGACAGAAAAGGAGCAACAGGAATACTTTCTTCATCTTGTTGAGATAAAGACGACGAGCTGACCTGCAGATGAACTTCAGACCTGAGTGAGGAGTGTGTTCATGACTCGAGACATGAGAGGTGACAGACAGTTCATCACTGAAACAAACTGAGATACATGATGTATCCTGTTTGCCGAGGCATGAGAATGAAGGGGGTGTGTCGCATGAAGCAGGAGGGTTATAATGAGATAGGGTTAGCTCAACATTTATATGGAAAGTGAAGATCAGGCTCCCAAGAGAGAGACTGGTTTGTTTGTTGGTCACAGTGACCTTGACCTTTGACGACCAAATTCTTTCTTGAGTCCAAGAGAAGTTTGTGCCAAACTTAAGGAAATTCCCTTAAGGTGTTCAAGAGACTGAGACTTATGAGGCTACAGTTACCTAGACCTTTGACCTATGACCACCAAAAACCAATCAGTTCACTGGGTGCTACGGTTGACTGATGTTATGAAGGCTGTATAGCTACTGAGGCACAGTGCAGGCAGAGTGGTAAAGACAAACCTCCACACATATTTGCAGATCTGTGCCGTGGCAGTTGACCGGGGTCTCTGGTTATCAAAGAATAAACTGCTGTAAGAAACAACCATCACAGCAACATGTTTACTGAATTCTTCTAAAAACGCTGAACACTGAAATGCTTCTTACAGGTGAACAAGGCTTTACTCTGACCAATAAGAACTCAATTGAAAATGGATTTGAGACATTTTCTTGTTCTGTGTAAACACTTTAATTTCTTACGTGTTACTGCCTGCCTCCACTGAAGCTCTGTCTGTGCTTGTCTGCTGCTAAAGTCCAAAATACATTTCCTATGCCTTCACTTTAATTTTGTTCTTCCTCTTGCCATAAATAACTCTGCCAGACCTCAACTGCCTCTGTGTTACTTCTATTCCTGGGTTGTAACACAGGTTCATAGTGTAGTGAAAGCTTAAACAGTGTGTCCAGAAACCATCATCTGACTTCCAACAAAGTTTGACAAATAAAGTTTAAATTTGTAGTTTATAGCTTGGGCTCACTGCAGAGTCTTCATTAATGTGTTTCAAGAATGGAAACATCAAACAGGAGTCCATGACATAGAAACTAAAGGGCTGGATGTCCTACTGATCACCATCAAAGACAGATGACTGCCTAATGTCTAATAATATAAACCAGAGAAGGTCCAAGACTAATAAGAATTCCAGAAAGAGTTTGCAGAAACAGCTGGACAGCAGCATCAGTTACTCCTGGAGGAGTTTCCTCCACAGTTATGCTTCTGTCAGCTCTGACTGTCGCTTTAATGATCTTGTTTGTTGCGTAAATAAATTCACACCGGAGCAGTTTGAATTATCCTGTGATGTTCTGTCTGTTTTATTTATATCTACATATTCTATTTATATATAACATATTTTGATATCTGTATATAATATATCTATAACGGTTTTGATGCCACAGTAAATTCATTGGAGTCCTCTTCTAATCTTCACAGGGAGCCTGTCAAGACAAATTAATAAAGGGACAAACTGAATAACTGGTAAGGTATTTGAGACATTATTAATGTTCATTATGTAAGCAATTTATATGTTTTTAGACTGTACATAGGTGTAATTTTGCAATAACAGCACTGTACTATACTTGAGTACTTTTAATTTCATGCTACTTTATACTTCTATTCCCATACATTTCAGAGCGAATCTCACAGTGTGTGGCGGTGTATTTGTCTGCAGAGACTCTGCCCTTTGCCTGTACTTTCTTATTTTCTGTGTTTGGGGAGTTTACGGTCATAGCCCCACAGTGCTCGGGTGAGGTCAGGGCTTTATAAAAAGGTAGTGACCAGGTGTCAGACTGTAAGCAGCAGACATCTTAAAGACACAGAATAAAATGCAAATGCAGTGAGGCAACGCGCCAAACAACAGGGAATCTGGGGTTGGCAGTTACTTTCAGTGTCATGCATATTTACAAACAGTAAATATACAGTGAATACTTCTTCCACCACTGATCTCTGTCCCAACAGGCATCAAATGTGTGTATGTAGTTCTATGTGCTTCCTGTAGCCACACTGCATCACTGACCCCAAAAAAATCTCTCTTATGAGGAATGATTTTGTGGGTTATGGAACTTGGACATTGTGTCATGTGCACAGCTTGGTTGAAACAATGACCTACTCACTGCGGTCAGCTGTGTTGTATGATGGTGATGAAGAGTCCGAAGCTAAAGTCAGAAAATTTGTGAAATTATGTAATCACATGAGAGACAGGATTAGGCATTAAGGATTGATTAATAATTTTTAGAAACACATAATAGCAGACACATTAAATTCATTCAATAAAACAAATATATTCTATTTTCAGAAAGGAAAACTCACCGTTTGCAGGTCTGAATCCTGAAATACAGATGAGAGATTACAGTATTAAATGTTAAAGAAAACATTAGAAAGATATTTTATGAGAGGAAACTAAGGAAACAACTGCATGTTTTGAAGAATTCCTCCATAAATTTCATAGATTTCGGCTTTGAATATAAAGGTAGGAGAGCGGCTTTTATATATGCAGTACATCTGTGATGGACTTCTACTGTGTCCTTTTGGCACAATGTCTTTAACATATTGGGCCTCATTCACAAACAGTGATACGCACCAATCTCAACTTTAACCATGCGTACCAGTGTTTTACACACAAATCTGGGATTCATCAGTATTTTTTCACCAGCATTTGCTTGTACTCTGCAAACACATTTAGAACTGCCTCAGACCATACGTACCCACAAATGATGAAGGCCCAGCTGACTTAGAAAATGTAAACACCTTTGAACAATATACATGGCATATTAAAACCACATTCTTTAAAAAGGCTTTAATAGACAATATTTAAATCCGGCCAAATGTATTTAATAACTATGAAATTAATGCTTTTAATTGTGTTCTAATGATGGCTACTCCCACCATTTTTTAGTGCCATGAAATTGTTGTTATTATCATTATTATTATCATTATTATTATTATTATTATTATTATTATTACATTCACAGATGCTCACTTACTGCCCACACTGGTGTGACAAAGCCTTAATATGTGCAAAATAATAACTTTACAGCTTTCTCCATGATACACCTCTTGGCAAAAATATTTCTTTATATAATGAAATGAGGTCGTGACAGTTTGCTGACTGCAAATGAATGAAGAATGAATGAATGATTTTGATCATTTGGATTCACTAACATACACACGATGGTAAATATAAAATTGGCCAGTGATCTTAAGTCATGAATCTGAGGACCTTTTTGCATGTTTTTTTGCACGTTATTTTATAGAGTAGAGTAAGAACATTTCTGTGCGCATGTTGGTGAATGAGGCGCAGAACCTATGCTAAATCAAACAGTAGAGTAAAAATAGCTCACATTATCGTTCCTTCTCCAGATAAAGACTCCAGTGATGCAGACTGTCAGCAGCAGCACTCCTATAACAACTCCAATAACAGCATCAGCAGTAATCTGTGAGGGAGAAACTGGAACCACAACAGAACATTCACACTTTGTCTCAACCACTGGATAAAAATCAATATGTTTAGTTTACAATGGCTTTGATAAGGACAATATTATCACAATTGAGAGAAATAATGTACAAAACTATGAAAATAAGACACAACTGTTAAAAAGCACTTATCCTGTAAATCCAAGATTAGTAAGGATTAATAAATGATTTATGATGATGACCTGATACAATATTTTTGTGGGCATAACTTCTTTAATTATGATATAGTGTTGGCTTGAAAAAAACAAAACAAACAGGTGAGTATTTTCAATTTCCTTCACGCCTGATCTCAGTCTCCAGGTAGACTCACAAGTCAGTCTTTAGACGCTTTGCTTAACTAAATCAGAAGGCGGAGATCTCTGATTGTCTGGTGGCGAGACTAGTCTCCAGGCCACCAGGAATGCTGCTCATTCTCGCAGCAAATTTTTCCAAGAGGGCACTTGTGGTATTGCAGCATAAAAATTGCCTGCAGTCCCAAAAGTATTTTCCCCATAAGAGAGACATCTATAAAACTTTTGACAGCACCTCGAGCTACAAACAAGGTCAATTACAACTCTTTATTGTGAATGTTTGAGCCATGGTGGTTTTAAAGTTGTAAAACTTTCCTTGACCTGAGAAAAAAGATTCTAAAATCTGTGACGTCATCACAATGTAAAGCCTATAAGCCAAGCAGGAACTCGTGGGCAGGGCCAGAGAGAAAGACACTACTGCACATATTCACTGGGGTTCATATCGCGGAAGTAAACTCAGATGCTAGAAAACTTTATTGGTGTTTGTGCCAGGCGAGCAACTCCACCAGAATGACTAGATGCCATCTCACATCTATGGTCTTACCCCAGTTGGTCCTGATCACTGCTTTGTCCAGTTTAGTGATGATGTCCTCCTTCACACCAGAGAGATGAAACACACAGTCGTACCTGCTCCAGTCTTCAGGTGAGATTGATGAAATGTTCAGGTCACTACTCATCTGGAAGGTTCCATCGTGGTTGGGGAGGATCTCTCTGTGGTCCATGCCCTCATGAATCTCCTCTCCATCTTTCTTCCAGGACATCATGGCTCTGTCAGGGTAGAAACCTGTGACATGGCAAGTGACTGGAGAGGAGGGAGACTTCTGGAGGAGAGACACTGAGGGAAGGGCTAGGGCGGGGGGCATGGTAGAGATAATGGAGGGGAAGGGAACGAGACAGAGAAAAAGGATGGAGAAAGATGAGAAAAGCAAACATGAAAGTAAAGAATACAAAGTAAAAGAAGGATGAAAAAAATCAATGAAGAGAAAACAAGGTAAGGAATAGCGAAAACCAAGAGAAAGAGAAGCAACTAAAAACATATGTGTGTTTGTAGAGGTAAGTCACAGTTGTAAACACAGAGAGTCTGTATGCTGATTCATGTCAGTAGCAGTGGTAGATAGTTGCAGCCAATGCTAATGTCAACATGCTAACAATGATAATTCCAGTATGTTGATGTTTGGCAGGTGTAATGCCATCTTGGTTCTGCATGTTAGCAAAATTATATTTGCCAATTAACACTAAACATAAAGTACAGCTAAGGCTGGTGTCAGTGTATTTAGTTTTGCTGGTATTTGGTCATAAAGAAAAGTATTAGCTAAAAATAAATTTTGACCTGATGAGGGCAGTAGATAAAAGGCAGAGGTTAAAGGTTTTTATGACCCATTCTTTGGGGACCATGAATGTATGCAACAAATTAAATGACAATTCAATGATATTCAGTGATGTCTTTTTTTTTTACTCTTCTCTAAGATTAGCTAAAATTTTAAGAGTGGTTGAGAGCACTCTTGTCAAGATAAGATAAAAGGCATTTTGTTTTCACAGTCCACATTTTTTTTTTGTCCATCACAAAAATTAATTATGTTAGTTATTATGTTGAAGAGTAATTGCAATGATTGGAGTATTACATTCATGGGCAAAAGTAATACAACTATATTTAGTCCATTGATCCCAATTACTGTCATTTCACTTTACTAAAGTACAAAATTGGGATACTTTTACATTACTTGAGTATTTTAATCTAATGCAAACTCTACTTCTACTCCACTATTCTTCAGAGGGAAATACTGTACATTTTAAAAAACTACAATTATTTAATAACTTTAGTTACTAGTTGCTGTACACACTTTTCTGCATTTAAAACCTTTGATTCTTAAAGATATTTTTTTTGGCCATTTTGCCTTTAATGGACAGGACAGGTAAGCTTGAAAGGGGGAGAGAGAGAAGGGGGGGATGACATGTAGCAAAGGGCCACAGGCTGGATTCGAACCCAGGCTGCTGCGGCAACAGCCTTGTACATGGGGCGCCTGCTCTACCACTAAGCGACCGATGCCCCAAAACCTTTGATTCTTAAATATGTTTTCCTGACTGTACATATTTTTACTTAAGTGACATTTTCAATGCAGGACTTTTATGAATAAAAGAGTAGTTTGCAGTGTGGTATTAGTACTTTTATTTGAGGATCTGAATACTTTCGCCACTGCTGCTTCTGACACATTTACATCATCACAAATGCTTTGCTATTTCTGTTTTTTTAGATTTTCCTTTAACGTCAGGAAAACATAAAAATATGTTTACTTTCTTTATTTAACAGTAAGTCAAGATAGTTGTCAGGAGACAAGTCAAGAAAATGTTGCTGCATGAGGCCCTTTGTCTTTACATACTAGAGGGTGTCACACTTTAGTCTCTGAAAGTATTTTCAAAGTATTTAATTTATGGTAGGCATTACATAATAATCACTACATGGTGCATTAAAATGCATAACATTTCACTTAACACCAACAATGAAATGTTATGATGAAGCATGCATTATTGTAGCTGCATCAGTATGTACTTCACTTTACTTAACACATACAATAATAATTTATCAATGATAAGTTATCATACTGCATGGACTATTGTAGTACACAATCAGTTCTTACTACAGCTGATTTTTGATGTGTGTATAGGTGAGTATAGGTAGTATAATGCATTTTAAGCCCCATCAGTCAACCTCTAGATTATAGTCAAGAGCATATGTGAGGCACTTGACACTTAAAATGTCACATCAATAATGTTTTATGGCCGCCGATATAAAGCATCAGAAAGCATTATGTGTTTACAAGTGTAGTTATATAGCATTATAATATACTATGAAAGCCCTCATAATGCATTACAGATGTGGGTTGAAGAAAATGTTACCAACTTACTAAACTCATGCTAACTGTGCACTGTCTATTACAGTCTCAGCTCTGATAGAAAGTGATGTCAGAGCATTCAAAACTGTCTGTCCCAACTAACTGGTGAGAGCAAAATCAAATCTCACCGCCACAGAAATCGGACAAAAACAAAGTCATAAGTGACTGATTGGAATCATAATACAATAGCAGTCTGTGTCCTTGAAACTACATTAGGTAATATGATCCTACCTGTTCTCAGCAGAGAGCTCTTGCCAGATGCCAAATACATCTTCAGCCACTCAGGGCAAGTCTGATTGAGGTAATTCACATAGAAATTTAGTTTTGCTTTGTCAGTATCCCATCTCAGTTTGGTGGTGACAGCTTGTGGTTTCAGAGCAATCCATGTCAATGCCTTCAGGTCCAATGATATGAAGTCTTCTCCATTATAACCAAACTTTGTAAAAGCATTAACCTCTCCAGTCTCATCATCCCATTCACAGCCACTCATCCTCTGTAAAATGTGAATACCTGGGAGACAGAAACAGAGACTGTAATTCATAATGATGAACAAATGTCTTGATGATCTTAAAAACTCACTGTTAGTTTTCGAGTCTGGCCATGAGCTCATAATTCAAGTGCAGATTATTAGTGCCCTTTTTCTTTATATGAGTGATGACTTAATGACTTATATATGACTTTCATATAATTCTTGCTATTGTTCCATGAATTGACCAATGACTGCAAAGTCAGTGTCTTCTTGCATTATGTGCAAATCAAACTCTTGTATAAAGAGTTACACCTGTTTGACACCTGCAGTCTCAGACACAGTCCCAGCTCTAAATACCTTGCAGACACCTGTAATGAGCACCTGAACATGAATATATGTGCATGTTCAGAGTAGAAAATACAGTATATGTGTTGGCTATAACAAACCAGAATGCAGAAGATTTTTTCTATAAAAAGTGAAATATAAAATACATAAATTCTGTACCTCCAGTTTGGTTGAACTGCTGCTTCAAGTGATTAATTGTGGCTTTGAAGTCGTTATGTAGGTTCTCAGAACACTCTGTATTGTACCACTTCAATTGCTGAGGATTGTTTTCGAGTAGCTCTTTCAACCATTCTTGTTTTAGTTCTACTTTCATGATGTTGGTGTCACAGGAACCCAGCAGAATTTCATCAAGCACTGCAGTACCCACAAACTCTGGGAATTTTGGGACTCCAGAAGATGCAGTTAAGAAAAACTTCAGAGAGTGTTTCGCTGTAGGACAAACAAGGTTTATACAATCTGTATAATTATAAACACATTATCATCACACTCAGCTGAGGTAAAAGTGAAACTAAACTGCAAGAGCCAAGTGACAAGAAAAAAGTGATCTTACCTGGAAATGAAACGTGACAGAAGAGAAGCAACAACAGTATTTTTTTCATTTTGTTTTTATACAGACGTGTGGGGAAAGGACTGAGCTGACTCAGTTGTTTGGTTTTCTGCGGTTTTTCCTTGTGTAAGAGATGGGAGTGTCTTTGATCTGATGAGAGATGGACGGATGATACAGAAGTTGGGAAACTTGTTTTTCTCCTGTGAAGATCACTGTTTCAGTACATTGTCTAAGACTTTACATCAAATTAAGAGTAACATGTGACTTTGACAGCTAAAGCTTCAAGAGTCAAAGGTGCTTCAGCAAATTTTTCATTTTGTTTGACAGTTATGCAGTTAAACTTTGTGATTGGCATATTATAGGGTTAAGAAGAGAGGAGAGTATTTGTGAAATATAGTGATCTATGTGGGACATAATTATAAGCATGAGAACATTTACACCTGATACCACATAATAATGTAATAAAAGTAAGAGGCTAATTTAATAAGTGAACATAAGTCAGCATTAAAATAATTTAATATTGATCTCAAGTCATTAAAACAAGATTAGAAGAAATGACTCAAGTTAAATTTACAAAAATAAAAAACAAAAACAATAGTATATGTATGTTTCTAATCTCAGTCTTAACCTAGATATTCTTCATCATGGCTTTTTGAGTCTGGTGATCAGTCTCATATATTATGTGCACATTTATGACTGTGTGCTTAAGGACCTCTCATGGTTGTAGTGATTACAAATTGTTAAAACAAATAAGGTTTTATCGACACACTGCAATGACTGCTGACTCCTCTTCACTGGCCAGCGTCACACCTGGGACACGCTGCCTGCCTGAACAGGGTGTGATGGCTACCTCACTAAATCGCTGAAGCTTGCATGCCTGCGGTGTTCACACAGACAGTGTTGATGCTGCAGCACTGCTGCAGAGCTGCCTGCTGCTGTAACTATTGTATTTCCACAATTAAAAGCCAGTACTCCCTTCATTATGGAGCCATGCAAGTAAGTGCTTTGTCAACAACACAGTCATGCAAATATTTCGCAACAAAAAGCCTCGTGTCAACAACTAAAGGGAGTCTGTCCACAGAAACATTGTCAGAGGGCCTTGATTTTGAAACTGAAACAGGAAAGGCTGAGTAAAATAGAAATGTTTATATTCTATATAGTCTATATTCTTCATGTCACCTACAGATACAAACATTGAAACTGTAGTGAAAGGTGGTATAATGTCAACATTACATACGTGCTCACATATAGTGTGTGTGTGTGTGTGTGTGTGTGTGTGTGTGTGTGTGTGTGTGTGTGTGTGTGTGTGTGGTACACCAGCTGCACAACAGCAGAGAGGAAGGCGTTTCAGAGGGTCATCACCACAGCCCAGAAAACCACAGGTTGCCCTCTCCCCACCCTGGAAGAAGAACTTTATAGTTCCCACTGTCTCAGCAGAGGCCAAACCATTCTCAGGGACCCAACACACACAGGACACTCCCTGTTTGAAATGTTGCCCTCAGGCAGGAGATACAGGGCAATTAAGACCAGAACAAACTGGTTCAAGAACAATTTTTATCCCAGGGCAATAATTACACTCAATGACAATTTGCACTAATGAATGCACATGTAGGTTTTTGTTGCTGCTGCTAAGTGGATGTGCAATGGAAATGACAATGACAATAAAGTATCTATCTATCTATCTATCTATCTATCTATCTATCTATCTATCTGCTTTTGCCTTTGTCATGGCTTAAAATCTGACATCCATGGAAAAGATGAAAAGTCCATATTAAACTCACATTGTATCTATTTGTTCTGCCTGATTTAGAGGGGAAAGAGGGGAGTCACATGTTGGTTGGATGTAGGTTTGAATAGAAAGCCAATTATTCCCAGTACCTTTATTTAGCACTGTCTTACATGTGTGTCTGGAGCACTTATTACTGAGTACAATTCACCAGGTGCCATTTATGGGCAAATTAATGCCACAGTATGCATCCTAAATATTTACTTTGATGGGGAGCAGGAGCTGATGACTGACTACCGTGTAAGTCATGCATCTTTGGAGGTCTTGATGAGGTTGCAGCCACATGAGGGGACCCATGGCTGGGGACACCATGTCACAATTCTAACCACCCTGTACTGGATGGCACATGGGTTGTCTTATATTGTGGTTTGCAGGGCTTTTCAGGTCTCAAAGTCCACTGTGTGCTGACTGGTTCACATTGAAGCAGAGAAGATTGCGGCCTTACGCCAAACAGTTATGCGACTGCCTTCTGGCCAGGAACTTAGAGCAGCTGGCAAAGAGTCCTGTCTTCTCAAAATGTGTGGGTGCAATAAATGGATGCCACATTTGCATCAAGACAGCAATGTAGCAACCAGCCTGTGACCATCATCACTCCGTATTGGGAGCCACTGCACGGGAGGGTACAGGGCCGCTTTAACAGCCACCGTGCAGAGGCTCGCACCATCAATGAACAAGCCTTTGGAATGATGAAGATGCGTTGGAGGTGTCTGCTCTTCAAGGCTCTGGAGGTAAACCATACTTTTGCACCCACTGTCATCACCACTCTTGCTGTGCTTCACAACATCTGCTTGACAGCAGGGGACGTCCTGGAACCACTCCAAGATGGTGATGATATCGTTGTGCCTACACCATATCCTGTAAGGGGGGGCATAATGTGAATCTTGTGTTGCTTTACAAACAAGACAAAAAGGAATGAAACTTCTGTGCTCACAAGTAGCCTGACCTGCAACAAAAACAGTCATTGGATTAAATCATTTATTTACAAGTTTCTCAAACAACTAAAGGAATTTCTTTGTGGCTTCCTCATTAGCCCTTTGTGAGGTCTGGAACCTCTCCTCCTCCCTGGCTGCCTCTTCCTTTACAAACTGCAGGAGGGCAGCTGCTTTTCTTTGGTGGAGAGGTGCTGGTTGAGGTTGATGGCTCTGCAATCTCCTCTTGTGTGCAGCTGCTGGTGTCAGGCTAGGCCTCCTCCTCCTCCTCCTCTCCCTCCTCCCTCATCTGAGGCCACAGCAGCCACAGGTGCCATGTTTTCCCCATCACAGGAATCAATCAGGACAGGAGGCTCAATAGATGGCCTCCCCCCACTGGCATCATGCATGGCAGAAAACCACGGCCATGTAGCTGCTGTGGCCTTTTTCTGGTCTGTCCCTTCCCCTGATATTCCCTCATGAAATAAATCACAATAATAGAATAATAATAAAAGGTAAATAGTGACCTTATATATATGTCTAGTCTGACTATTTACTTTTTATTATTCTCTTTATAGTCCCACAACAGAAGCCTGGATTATAAAGGTCTGAGTCATTTTTATGACAGTTAGGCCTGAACAATACATCTTTTAAGCATCGCCATCGCGATGCACAGGTGTGCAATATTTACATTGCGGGGCTTGCAACACGTGGCTTGCCCTAATTAAACTAAGCATGCACGTTTGAACTGCCGAGTGATGCGCGTAAAACTTACTTCTGTTTTAACGACTGACCAACAAAAGATGTCTAATTTAGTAGAATAAAGAATAGATAGCTTATTCAAGTGCTGGAATTTGTTACAGTATTTACGTGACAATGCCTGAACGCAACACAGGCTCCGCTCCATAGACTGTGTGCACAGTGCGGTGCTGTAGGTCCGGGTTATAACTGTCTCGGTTATAAATGTCTTGGACTCGGGTCCAGTCCGGTCAGGAAAATGCGACCCAAGCCGCGTTCTAGTGTGCTCACCTGTGTGTGTGTGCGCACGTGTGTGTGTGTGCATGTGTGTGTGTGTGTGTGTGTGTGTGTGTGTGTAGCTCACACTCAGTGAATAACCTAAGCCCTGTGATAAGCTATTATGGCAAGGCTTAACTATACAGACCAGTGAGCAGTGATAACTAACATGTCTTTGGGTGGGAACCTCCTTTCACCAGTGTTTAATCTAGTTGGTCCCACGACACCTCCAGAAGGCTAGACAGTGATCTCTGGCGCCCCAGAGACACTCCCCTAATGCCAGGTCTCACTGCTCCCCGCACCAACCCAATAACCTCCTTTACTTTACATTACACATGGCTTTCTAAGCCCAAACAGCACTGCCACCTTCAACCAAACCCAGGTTCTGTTAATGCGAGCTCCAGGTAGTGACTGTGTCGATACTACCTTTCCTAGCACATTCACCATACCCTATTTCACACGCTACATAGCATAACTCCAATTTAAGCTAAAGTTAAAGGAGATAGATAACTCACAGGATCAGCAAACACACTCACCTTGCAGCATGGTCTCAAACAAAAGGGATTCAAATAGGCCACTCCCACACTTAAATAATCTTCCTCTTCCTGGATTTCCTCCTGAGAGGAAGTGGATCTCTCCACCTGATCTCAAGGAGTTATGTAACCTGCTTAGTAGTTCCCCCTGCTGGCCCCCAACTGACATTATTTCTTTTCTTATAGATCCATTGGCTTGCTCTACCTTCTTCATCTGACATTTCCTTCACTGTCTTCCTCAAACTCTGTCCCCGTACTCTGAGTTCCCCCAGGAGCGAGACAGCTGATCTTGCTATGAATCCCCTACGCCCCACTTCCACTGGACAAATCCTAGTTTTCCATCCTCGCTGCTCAGCTTCTGCTCCTAAATCTGCATATCTAAGGTTTTTTCTTTCATAGGCTTCTTCCACTGAGTCTTCCCAAGGAACTATCAGCTCAATGAAATAAACTATCCGTTGACTCACTGACCACAACACTATGTCAGGCCTCTGCTTGGTACAAACTTTTTCCTGTGGAACAACAAGCTTTCCCCCTAAACCTTCTTGCACTTCCCAATCACAAGCACCTTCTAGGTGGCCACACCCTTGCCTCCTTACTAACTTATCCCTTCTGTATTTCTCCCCCTCACGGACAAACTGAATTGCTAAACTTCTGAATTCGAATTTGAGGGAACAACGCGATTCGCGTTCAGCGTCATCAGGTGACGCTGAACAAAAAACGCTGAACAAAAAAGCAAAAATAAATAAATGAAATAAAATATAATAAAATAGATAAATATATTTTAGTCATATATCAGTTTCTGGACTGTACTTAAATGTAGCCTTTAGAGAATTTCTTTAGATTTTGC